GTTCTTCACGTCTGCCGGAAGCTGCTGCTATGTCCCAGCGCCGGGTGCAGCTGCCCGTCTTTCAGAGCTTCCCCCTAATCACGCTCACCCCGTGTGATTTCGGCCCCCAGGCGACTTTTAGCCGCGTCTGGGGGCTTTGTTTGGGTTATTACGAAGGGGGGGGGGCGTGCTGTTGGCATCTAGGGGGTGGAGGCCAGGGATGCTGCTCAGTGACCGCCAGTGCACAACCTTCGCAACAAAGAAATATCCAGCCCCAAATGTCAGTAGCGCTGAGGCTGGGAAACCCTGCTCTTGGGCCGTAAAATCTCTGAGGCCCCGAATGAACTGTGGAAATTGTTTAAAAGTCAGCTGAGTCAGTTATAGGGCCCCCAAGTGACAAGCCATATTTAAAGTGTCTGGAGTAACCAAAAATTCTCTATCCAGCCAAATGAGTTGAGCAAGTCAATTGCACACAGCATGAACCTGCTTTCTCCCACTTGGTGAGCAGATGGCTGGATGGGAATCAGGAAAATCCAGTCACAGCCAACAATTACACGTTAATCAATACAGAAAAGAAAAGTGAATGGGATGGCTTCTCCATTCAATAAACTGTATTGTTCCCTATAAAAAAACCCACATCAATCTTTGTGCTTTTTTTTCTCCTCAGACAAGAAAAGCATCTCTAGAGCTCAGGTGTGAGTTGAAACCAGCCTCAAGACTCACCTTTCCTCACTGAAGATTTCTGTCAGGTGAGGTCTGTGTGCAACTTGTGACAACAGGTTCCAGCTGCCTCCACTGTGCAGAAAAACTGCTTTCTTGAGCTCAAATTGTAAACACAAGGAGTCACTAAGAGTGAGAGAATCTTAAAAAAAATTATGTTTGATGGATTATATTCAAGGGAAAGATAGTAAGGTGTGTGTGGTTATATGTGTGTAAATAATTCAATAAATACAGTTACATGCAAATAAGTACACATTAAACAAACATGTAAATAACAAAATGTGTAACAGTATAGAAATGTGTATTTGCTTACGTTACATAGTTCTAAAAATGTTAAGATTTTACATATAAGTATAAATATATAATTTTTTATGTGTATGTGAAGTATGACAAGCCATCTAACTAAAGACTAGCAGGACTACTTAGCAACATTCCTCAGGCCTCTTGAGTTTGACTTCTAAAGTGCTGTAAACCCTCCACAAAGATTCAAAGTATGGGGGCATTGGGGAGAAAAAAGTGATTTGAATTTCTTTATATTAGTAACAAAAATTTAAATTGACCAGCAACCATATGTATTTTGAGCAAGTAGGGTTTTTTTCTTAATGAGATTTAAAATCATTTGGAGGAATATTCAACAACAACTTACAGACTGAAAGGTAGGGCACCAGTTTCCAAAGCCTGTCCTCCACAACTTGCCTTCTAATAGAAATTAACTGTCTTTTAAAACTCCTGAAATAACAGTCTGGTGATTCATATTGCAGAGCTGCATTTTAAGTAATTTTATGTTCAGTTGTTGGGCTTTACTAATTTTGTGTGTGTGTGTTTGCATTTGCATGTGTGCGTGTGCCTGTGTGTGTGCATGCCTTTTTTATTAGCTTTCCTTTAACATTCTTGAGGGGAATATTTGCTTGCCATGCAATAGATCATTTTTGAGTACACAGTTTAGGGTGACCAGCCCTTCTCTTTTATTTGGTTGTAAGGGATATGCCAGGACACAGGACATTTAGTGTTCAAACCAGAACAGTCATAGGCAAACCAGGATGGTTCATCATCTCCATGAGCCAGGCCCTGGGCCAGATGCATAGGAGCCATGGAGAACCAAGCAGACTTTGTTTTGCCTCCATGCAGTTTACGTTCTAAACAATTAATTGCATAATTGATGTGAGAGCTTGGCACAGAGGACTCAACCTGAAGGAAGAAAGAAGTCATCTTGAGAAGGACTGATATTTAGCTTGAGAGCTAAAGTTGGAACTGTGTGTTGCTAGTTGTCGGACTAGACTAGAGTGAAGGTGTGGGAGTACATTCAGAAGAGCACTTTGGGCAGAGAGAACTTTATGAGAACAACCCAAAAGCAGGAGAACCTGGTGTGCTCCATGAACTGGGAAGATGGGGATGGCTGAAGCCAAGACAACAATTTAGGGAAGGAGTGTGAGCCAGGCCGGACAGTTGGGCAGGCAGATCAGGCATTACTTTGGACTCTGTTCTAAAGCCAGTAGGGAGACACTGAAGAGGATGTGTGGTTAGCATTTGGTTTTTGCATGCTGGTTAAAATGGTCTTCAGGATTAAGAATGAGGACTTAAGAGGGAAAATAGGTGTTACGAAGAAGTTTAGGATTAAGATGGTTGTTCCCAGGCCTGGAAAATGACTATGGAGGAGGAAAGAAGTAGAAAAAGGAGACCTTAGAGTTTAGAACTAAGAGAATGTAATGATGCTTCCATCCATGCATGCATTTTTCAGATCGCACAGAACACTTACTATGCTCCTAGCTCCTGTCCATGCAAACCTGCAGCCATTGCCCTCACCCTGGTCCATGTTTTCACCCCACTTTGCCACTCACAGGTCCCCTCCTCCACATCCTAAAGAAAGTCAGGCCTGAATATGTCTAGGACTTCTCTGTCCACCATGGTGACCATTAGCTACATGTAGCCACTTGAATTAAACCAATGAAAAATAGAATTAAAAATTCATTTTCTCAGTCCCAGTGGCCATATTTCAAGTACTCAGTAGCCACCTGTGGCTAGTGGCTGCCATATTGGACAGAGCAGAGTTACAGAACATTTCCATCATCACTGACAGTTCTATTGGGCAACACTGGTATGGAGTGGCACTTTCTCAGTCACCCTCCCAGCACCAAAATATCCAAGAGGAGACAGGAGTCTCTGAATCTGTAAACTGAACAGAGCCCCTCTCTGTCCTCATGTGAGACTCTAGCTGCCAAAATACCTTGGGTCTGAAAGTGTCCCAAGCACCTTGTCAGCTTCCTTTCATCTTGGGATTCTGTGAGCTGGCTGGATCCTACCTCTTCTCTTTCTCCTCAGCTCAGTGACTATGACTATTCCTAACTACAAATTGGGTCCCTGGTGGGGAGAAAGGAGCCATCCTCCACCTGCAGCAGGTAAGGAAATTCTTCCACAGTTGTGTGGGTCTGCTGGACTCACACCAAGGCTCAGGGAGGGTTTGATGTGAGAGACTATTAGTTTCCTATAGCTGCTGTAACAAATCATCATAAACTTTGTGACCTAAAGCATTGCAAATTTATTTTCCTACAGTTCTGGAGTTCAGAAATCCTAAATGGGTTGGCAGGGTTGCATTCCTTCTGGAGTATCTAGGGGAGAATCCATTCCTTTGCTTTGATTGTCATGTAGAGGCCACCTGCATTCTTTCCTTGGTTTAATGCTCCTTTTTTCATCTTCAGAGCTAGCAGTGTAGCATCTTCCAACTTCTCTCTCTCACTCCCTGACCTCTGTTTTCATCACCACATCTCTTTTGCTGATCTTGACCCTTCTGCTTCCCTTTTATAAGGACCCTCGTGATGACATTGGGTCCACGTGGATAATCCAGGATCATCTCCCCATCTCAAGATCTTTTATTACATCTGCAAAACTCTTTGCCATGTAAGGTAGCACACTCACAGGTTCTGCGGAGTAGACTGTGGACATATTTGGGCGTGGGCATTAATCTATCACACAGGCCCAGGAGTCAGTGACTCCCTACAACTCTTTTTCACCTGGCCCACACTCACTTTTAGTGTCTAATGTTCCCCTCCCTGCACACACTCATACCCTTTGTTGCTTTCATCTTTTAGGTGCAAGGAGGACACACATAGAGACCTCAAGAAGCTAGTTTTATGGAATTACATTTTATTCTGTAACTATAGGGAAAGGAGGTGTTCCCTTTTTTTATAAAAAATATGTTTTTATTGATATCAGAGAGAGGAAGAGAAAGCGAGAGAGAGAGAGAAACATCAATGATGAGAGTCATTGATCGCCTGCCTCCTGCACACCCCCTACTGGGGATTGAGCCCACAACATGGGCATGTGCCCTGATCGGGAATAGAACCATGACCTCCTGGTTCATAGGTCAACATTCAACCACTGAACCACACTGGCTTGGCAAGGTGTTTCCTTCTTATAAAAAGGAAACATTCTATATGTGCTGCTTGGTACCTTGATTTTTTTTTACACTAAAATTTATTGGAGATAATAATCTATCACTACCTAGAAATTGTCTTTTTCTTTTTTTGGCTATATGTTTCTTCATGATGTGGATATCCCATAGTTTATTGAACTTATTCCCTATTGATCATCATTTGTGTTGTTTCCAATCCTTTGATGTTATAATAAGGCCACTGTGAATATTCTCACTGTTCTGTGCTGATCTCTGCCTATTAATAACCAATGTGGCTAGACCAGCCCTTGTAGTTGTGATTATGATTGCAAGATGCCCTTCACCAGTACCATGAGGAAACTGAAAAGATACAAGTTTACAGTTTACAAGACCTGGAAAGCACACCTTGGGCCACATAGGGATGTCATAGGGAGAGAAAGAGTACATGGGCCTGGAGTTCTGCTTTTATTGGGGTATAGGGTGGGAGCCTAAAGTTTCATGGGTTCACTCTTTATTGGTGAATTTAAAACATAAGAACAGGAATTTAAAGTGCAAGAAGAGAAAACAAACAGGTAATCCAAATGGTTAGTTATTGAAATCAACCAAGATCTCTAAAATAAAGAGCTTCAGTAGGGGAGGTGGTGTGGCCTCTTTATCTAGTTCTGAGGCTGCCAGATAGATGTGGTTATTAGAGATAGCTGTATTTGAACTGGATGCCTCTTTAAAATGGATGTTGTCTTGGCAGTCAAGGCTTAAGTCAGGCACTCGCATTACATAAAAGAAAAAAATGTCAGGATTTCTACTAAACTCACCCATGTCTTTTAGTATTTGTGTTATCATTGAAATAGATTCCTAGAAGTGCAGTTGACAGAGAGTAGAGGTGTTTGCATTTTGCTTGACATTGACAAATTCCTTCCATATGAGTTGTACCCCAGCAATCTATGAGAGTGCATTTCCATACAGCCTTGCCAGTAAAAGAAGTGGTCCACCATATCTTTGTTGATCTGACCAATAAGAATTGGTATCAGTGTAGTTGCAGTCTACATCTCTGTAAATAAAATTATTGGTGATTCTACCAATTGAACTGATAGTGGTGGAAACAAATTATATTGTGTTGAGGAGTTAGTGGGACATGAGGAAATGAGACAGAGAGTGAAAACACTAGCTGTGATGAGGGGGAGAGACAGGGCAGTCACTGGAAAGAAAACTGTGCTGTTAGGATATACATATTTCACTACTAAAACTACTGCATTGGGTTTAAATGGTGTAAGGGAGAGTCCAGTAGAGTGGCAGAGCTTGAAGGGAAGGGTAAACAAGAGATCATCAATAGTGTACAGCTCCTAAAGGCAGGTGGGATGGGATACAACAAAGCTGTAGAGCCTAGCCTTATAGAGAAGGGGAGACAGCTCCTGGTTTGGAAAGGAAGAGAGGAAGGAAACCATGTTCAGATTGTCATTTTGGTGACAGGAAGGTAGATTCCTTTCATGATGATCACTTTGAGAAGTAGGATGCAAGGCCACCATCTGAAAGTGAGGGTGTATTCCTTATCTGTTGCTACTAACCTTAGTCACTTAAAACAATAGTAATCATTTCCTGTCTCTTACAGTTTTTGTAGTTCAGAAATTCATCTTAGCTTCAAAGTTCTGGCTCAGGGACTTCTGTGATTTCTTAGCCAGGTATCAGCTGAAACTGCATTCATCTAAAGGTTTGACTGGTGCTGAAGGATTCACTTTCAAGGTGTCTCATTCACATGCTGGCATGTTGTGATGGCTGTTGGAGAGAGGCCTCAGCCCCTCTCCAAGTATCTCTCTCCACAGGACTGCTTGAGTGTCCTTGCAACATGGCTTCTCCCAGAGCAAGCAGTGTAAGAGACCAAGGAGGCAGCTGCTGTGTCTTTTAGGACCCAGCCTTAGAAGTCACCTCCACAATATTTTATTAGTCACACAGCTCAGCCCTAATTAAATGCAGGTGTGACTGTCGGGCGGCTTGAATCATTAAGGCGATAGGAAGCTGACTACCGTAGGGGGAAAGGATGTACGAGATTTAAAGAGATTAGAAAAGGTTTGAAAAGTAGTAGGAAGCTCCGTTGACTTACAGGATTGTCTTGCAGAATTGAGAGCTCCTTTCATGTAGGTGACCATGTTTATCTAGCAGTGACAGTAGCTCAGCTCTCCTGCAGGCTGGTCTGCCCAGGCAGATGATTGGAATCACCTGGTAAGAATTCTGCTGGAGCACTGTGAAGGTGGGGATTAGGGATAAGGGAATTTGTGGAAATTAGGGACATTGTAATCCAAGCTGGATAAGCATGAAATGAGGAGAGAAGGTGACTGATGGGTAGCAAGAAAGTAGGATAGTAGGTGGACTTAGTTCTTTATGTGGTAGAAGAACACATGTAGTGAAAGAAAATGAGTGAACAAAGTAGAAGTTTGGGAAGTTGTGTTCAGACAGAGGGAAATTTCTCAACTATTGTTCTGGATAGTGAAACAGTGTCAAGTGATGGCCAAACCTGGGGTGGTGCCCATGGAGATGTGTGGCCAAGGTGGAGTGAAGCAAACTTAAAACAGTGAGATCTGACATCATCTGAGTGAGGTGGAACTGGAGGCTGAAAGAATAATGGAAGTCAGGTGCCAAAGTCCCAGGTGAATAGGGATTGAAGTTGGGGATGTGATCGTGACAGCCACATGCATGGGAATAATGTGCCCTGAGACTAAGTGAAGTTGAAGATTTAAAATGGGGTGGAGCAGACCCGGCTGGTGTGGCTCAGTTGGTTGGAGTGTCATCCCATGCACTGGAGGGTCATGGGTTCCATTCCCCGTCAGGACACATACCCAAGTTGCAAGTTTAATCCCTGGTCAGGACATGTACAGGAGGCAACTGATTGATGTTTCTGTCTCACATTGATCTCTCCCT